AGGGGGGAAGAGAAAGGGGGGGGGAGGGGTTCCACTCAAATACAGAAGTTGAGGAATGAGAGCTCTGACCATCTAATCTAAACTGTCCAAAATAGCAGTTCTCCATGTGTCTAAAAAGGATGGGTACAAATTGTACTTATTCAATATCACAGACTTGACTTGGGGAAGTTTTTAAAAACCTGGGGGAGGTTTTTAAAACCTAATTTTATTCTGTCTTTGCTTTAATCCTTGGCCTAGGGAAATAAAAAGTGAAAGAACTACTCAGTGTTTGTAAGGTTTGGAGTTTTCAGTTCCATAAGCTATAGAGAAAATGTAGAGAAACTACAAATGACAAGTTTGAACCTATCAGACTACTGGGGGCACTTGTTACAGAACTACAACAAATGAAATATTCCAGACATGTCAAAGAGAGTGACAGTGTCAAAAAAGATATTACAAGGGATACGTGTTCTGAAAGCAATTAGCCTCTGAGCAGAGTAGCACATCACTGTCACTGAGCTGATACAAGGCTGCAAGCTAATTAAGCAGCAAAACAATAGGAGACAAATATAGGGTTTTTTGCATTGCATTATCAAACTCCAAGGACTGAGATTTGTTCTATAGCTATTGATACACCACAGGCCAGTGATATAGTTAGGGTGTTTTTCAAGTACGGATGATCATCAGAGATTCTTTCTTTTGCTTAGCAGTCTGTATCACTTTGAAGACACACTTGGCTAGTTGCTGTCCCACTAAAAGTGATATTTTCCAGGAACCATACAATATAATTCAAATATTTCAAATGGCCTAATTTTACAAAATTGCATTGTTTAGGCTGCACAAATTTTAGTGACGTTACCTAGTACAAGAAATACCTTTATGTTTCCAATTTCAAGTGTGAATCATCAATACCAAAATTCAGATGATATAATGAATACTTTTTTCTGCTCATGTTCAGAGATATGCTCTGTGTAAATCACTGAATTTTGTAGGCCTGATTCAAATTTCTATTAGGAAAACTTTGGTTTGGGGCTATCTTAGCAAGAGTTTGTTAGTTTTTTTCACACATGTATAGTAAATAAGCACTCAGACTTCCTCCTAAAATTACTGATCAAGCAAAATTCCTAATCATACGGGTGGGAATTTTGTTTTAGATGGACAGCAGAATATGAAGCCACTTACTAAACACCACTAAGCATAAAAATTAACTGTTTTATAAATAAACACCTGAAATGTGATACATTTTGCTGAAAAGGAAATAAGAGATCATCTGGAACCCTAGGACCCAGTTGTAAAGTGTCTTTGAACTTAATGATAAAAGTCAATGACAAAGGTCTCATAAAGTCAGTGGGGAACGACCACGCACCATTATACAACTTTACTCCAGTGACTGTGTGTGTTCCACAAGGTGTCTATCAGGGCCTAACCCCTAAAGTCAACTTTAAACTTAAAAATAAACACCAGTTTTATGGGATGATTTTATATGCTTGTGGCTTAAAAAACATAAATCATCTATTTATTTTTATCATTTATTTTTTCCTCCTCTTTCTTTCCTTCCCGAAAGATTTCACAGATTTCATAAACATTAGGGCTGGAAGGAACCTCGGAAGATCATCGAGTCCAGCCCCCACCCAAAAGGTAGGAAGTCAGCTGGGATCATAGGATCCCAGCAAAATAAGCATCCAATTTGCTCTTGAAGGTGTTCAATGTAGGTGCTTGAACCACGTCTGATGGCAGGCTGTTCCAGACCTTGGAGGCTCGGAAAGTAAAGAAATTCTTCCTTATGTCCAGCCTGAAACGGTCTTGCAGTAATTTATAACCGTTCAACTTTGTCATCCCTTGGGGTGCTCTGGTGAACAAACGTTCCTCCAGGTACTGGTGGTCACCCCGATAAACTCATAGGTGGCCATCAGATCACCCCTGAGCCTGCCCCATGGCCCTCAGCCTGTCGTCGTAAAGTCTGTTTTCCTGACCTCTGATCACGCGCATGGCTCTTCTCTGGACTCTCTCAAGCTTCTCCACATCCTTTTTGAATTGTGGGGCCCAAAACTGGATGCAGTACTCCAGCTGTGGCCTCACCAAGGCCGAGTACGAGGGGAGAATGGTGTCCCAGGATTTACTTGAGAAGCATCTATGGATGCAAGCCAGCGTTTTGGTCGCTTTACTAGCCGCAGCATCACACTGAAGGCTCATGTTCATCTTGTGGTCAATGATGACCCCCAAGTCTCTTTCTTTCATAGTGCTAGATGACTGACAGAGACAAAATATGTCCCCTGAATGGAGTCAGGACTAACATACTGGTAATGCAGAGATTGTTAGCACCCGGATTAGGCAAAACTCAGTACTATAAGCATTTAGAATGAAGATGCTTGCTCATATCTGTTTCGCTCTTCAAAGTGGTGGTACGCTGCAATGGTGCAAAACAACTGTAATTTTTCTGCTGCAAGCCCCATAACCTCCCAAGTGCAGCACTCCAAATAGGCATGAGTTGGCTGAAGAGGAGGACACAGCATGCCTAGTGCTTCCAAGGGATGGACTAATTTCGTATACTAACTCACTGGTCAAGTCCTCAGTACAATTAAGCTGCTCCAATTGTTGAAACCCCAAAGGTAGTGAAGGAAACACCACCTGCCCTTTCATGCAAGTGAATCCCCCCTAGGTCTCTGTGATGCTCTGTTCTCTTTCAGAGGCTGCTGAAGCCAAGGAAATACTAAGATAAGACTCTCAATTCTTTTTGCTTAAAACTTAGCTCAGTAAGAGTCATCTGCTGCATACTGAATATTACAACCAGCTTTATTATGCTGAATCCTAAAATGGAAGGAAGATTAATAGCCCATTTTCTCCAAAAGCATAGTATTTACTTCCAATTTATACTATTGTTTCCTTAGAAAATAATCCCATCAGATGAGATGTGGGATTTACACACCAAATCCAAATCTAGGTTTGTATCAGTGTCTGCAGTTCAAACCTATGTGAAGAATTAACCAAACACCAAATCCTGAAATTGAAGTAAATTCTCAGTTGGATTTGTCCCCCAGTTTGGATGTAATAATATGTGTAAGTCTAGTGGAACTATTACAGAGAAAGCCAGAATCTGAAACTGATGTGGGCCCACTTCCACATAAATCCTCCTTGAAAATTATGTATACCAATCAGGACCAGCAGGTCTGCATAAACGGGTGTTTATAACTATACAGTAGTGAGTTTGATTGTGGCTGAATTTTGTGTTATTTCTTACCATGATACCAGTATGAAGCATTATGTAATGCACAGTTTGAGTAACATCAGCTGCATGGATCAAATTATGGTAAGGATTTTTGTACTTGCTGTAGCCAACCTCCAGAGCTTCTGCAAATGAAATGAGACTGGGGACAGGGATCTGTGTGAAATAAGAAAAAAAAATCATGTTTCTTTCTCAGTAGCTACAAAGTCATATGTGCAATAAATAAAACACAAGTTAATACATTGCATAACTCTTAGGTTTCAGTTCACAAATACTAAGGTGATGAAAGATGATGATTAAAGGACTGGAGTGTAGTCCCCTCTCCATTCCAGGAAGTGACTTACTCCTTCTGTTCCTCCTAGTGGTATCAACACTTTGCCTCCACTACATGTAAAATGGGACAAGCATGTAAGGGAGAATAGGAAATGGGAAGTGGGAAAGGAAGGGAAAAATAGTGGATATGCCCACAATTGATTAATCATATTGAAGGTAGTATGATACACAGGAGTCTACAAGAGGATTGATTTTTATTTCCAGACCTGATGTCAGATGTAATGATGCACATCTAACCCAGGTTAGAGTTATAAACTGACACACACCAAGGGTGTTCTCTGGATATATATATATACACACACACACATAGGACATATATAAAAATATAAATATCCAGGATATATACACTATATATAGATATATATGTATAGTGTGTGTGTGTGCGTGTGTGTGTAGAGAGAGAGAGAGAGAATATATATTTATATGTCTCTACATATAGATATATAGTTATATATCTATATCTATATATAGTACCTTTAGTTTATAGTCTCAAGGAGCAGTGCAAGACCCTTACTCCTCACACTCATTGCTATGAATTACAGATAGAATCTGGCCTGGTATTTTTTCAATATAGTTAAGTAATGCATTTCCCTAGGGACAATATTCATACTGTTTTGAATGAGAAACTGAAAACTGGTTTCCATAATGATAGTGAAATTCTTGTACAGTACGAGAATGATAATAAATAATAAGATATTGTATACTTTGATAGTACATGCCTATGTAATTTGATAGTACACCAAAGTGCTTTACAAATATTATAGTGTCAAATATATAATGGACAAATATTATATGAGCCTTGCATTTCAGATAATACTGAAATGCAGCTTCCTTTGGAGTTGGATGTGCCAGGTATTTAACAATATACCATCAAAACTGTTAAGGACAGGAAGTGAAGAATTATATGGCAACACACATATATATTATTGAAAAAATGCTTGAGATGATTGTTTCATTTCTGAGTGGGAAGAGGGTACCTCTGAAACCAAAGAACTTTTTACTTTAACCTTAGAATATTGATTCAGCAGTAACTCAGAAAACGGTATAAACTTTAGTCACCTACATATGACTATAACACTTAGCATTTCAGTAGACACCTCTCCTCCAAAAACTGAATAGGCCTGAATCTTCTATGCTTTCAGACTCAGTCAACAATAAGGCAATATTTGTATAGGTAAAGTGACATTTGGTGTAACTTTATTATTATTATTACACTTATATAACAGGATTTCCTGTTTGTAATGTCCCTTAAGTTTTGCTATGCTGTACTTCATTTGTACAATGAAATATAATTTCAAATATATCCTGATTTTTCATTGCTTGGACTTGTCATTCTTAATTTATATTTGAGTTTTATTTGAAGCTTCTGACCTTGAAACGGCTCATAAGGTCATATCGAGTAAACAGCTCATACATCATAAATTTCAGACTGTGCTCTCCACTCGCTTCATTTAGGGCAAACACATCAAATGACCATTTATCAACTTCCTGTAGATGGAGAAAAAGAAAAGAAGATTTTCACATGCCTGCAAAAGTTCCCAGATAATCACTGGAAATGTTTAAAGCAATATATAATTCCCCATAGTCAAAGGTTTCATTTATTGTTACTTATGTTAATGACTCTTCTAATATTAAATATGAACATAATTAAGAAAATTATTAGGATCATTACATGGATCCAGATCTGTTATTGTTTTGTACAATTACACTCGAAGGCTCTAATCTTTCAGTTAGGCTGAATTTACTAATATAAATTGACTAATATAAACTGACTGAATTTACTAATATGACTTATCTAGAAAATTCAGTGGGCTACCTGGAAACACAGGAATCCTTTCCATTGGCTACATAAATAATAATAGAAAACACGATAAACACAATAGCAACATTTGACTATTAGGGAAACAGGTTATGTACAACTTTTTTGCCACTTTCAGTGATCTTTTGTATTTTTGCATTTTCACAAATGCTGGGAATTGTTATTTGAGTGAAGTGCAATGATGCTTAAAAAATATCCACAGCAAATACTCTGTACTATAAATCACTGTCCCTTGAGCTGTTGCTTCTGTTATCCATTCCAGGGTAACATTTCTTTTTTATTTCCCAAAAAAGGAAAAACATACTATTTTCTGAGATACTGATTTGTATTACCAGGGGAAGCTGATAGAAATATTTTTCTATTTCATTGTTATATTGCTCTAACAACATCTAAATTAAATCACAATAGCTAAACAGAAAAAATAGTAAATGGAGTTATATGCTATTTGTGAATGTTTAAATATGGCTTTTCTTGCTGATGTGTGTATTCATTCCTATGGTTCCATGTAATAAATACCCTAATCCCTAAGCACAAAGGCATACATGTTCAAATTATACAGTAATTAAACTTGTTTCACCTTAAATGTTAGTATCACATCTGCTGGGTAAGCCAAACCAACCATGTTAGAGGTCCTTCGATACATCCTAAAAGAGCAAATCAAATACTTAGTAATATTCAGCATGCTAACTAAAAAAACATTATTAGATCCCTTTTATTTTCCAACTCCTTTTTCCAAATTTCTGAGATTTGGTGAATTAAGGGCCTGGTCCCAAAGATTATTTCAATTAATGGGAACCTTTCAAATAATTTCATGAGCATGGAAGAAGACCCTATAATTCCATGTTATTTTCTGGTCTAGTAATACATTGCTAGGACAATCAACATTGCTTTTTTATGCAATTGTTGTATCAGTTTTGGCTTAATGTGATGTAATATAATATTGCTACAAGTATTACAACAAAAGATTCCTTTGTTTACTTCCTAATTAAATATGTGAAACCTATAGGTAGGGTATGTGAGTATTCTTAGCTTGTATAAGAAAATGCAATTTAGTTTGTTTCAATATGAGCATCTACTACAACTAATTTAATTGATCCAGTGCTACTGCTTTCATTGTGGAGTCTTTGGAATATCTTATTGTACCTGAGTTCAAATCACAGTGTTTGGGTTCAGAACTACTTCTCAAAGCTTAAGAGAATTGGCATCTAGGGATTTATTCTGATTTCTAAAAAGAGCATTGTAGGCTAGATGTACACAGCACATTGCTATACTGTCCAAAAGTACTTAACATAGCCAGTAAGGTAGCTGGATTACTGAAAGAAGTGTAGGCACACAGCACTGAGACTCCTTTTGGGGTAATTGAAATTGAAACAGGGTGTATTAGTCTGTGTAGTGCACCACACTCATGCAACTGTCCTGCTTCTAGTACCAGAATTAGCTCATTCAAAGTTAGCTTGGGAATCTCTATAAAGTGCTGTAGCTTGCAGATATGCCCCAGAAGAATAGACCAGGCTGAAGTTCACATACAGATCTGAACTTCTGCAAAGATTTATACCAGGCTTAAATCTAAGGTTGTATCCCCTGTTGCATTCTCTTCAACTCACATACTGTCACTGTGTTACATTCACTATTTGTTATCATAATGTTCACCTTTCCACAAAAATCCCAGCTTGTACAGCATGCACAATACTTCTGAATTTTGGTTTTTCTTCAGGTCTCCTCTTCATCATCCCCATTTTCCTCGTGAAGGTAGAAGCCAGCCAGTCCCGTACTTCCAGTGGGACTGAATCTGACTGGATGTCAGAGAGTTCATCTTCCGTATCCAAAAGCCTCCTTCAAAAACCAACAAAATAGAAATAATTGAGGAAGAGGCAAACTAAAGCAAAAAAACAGCTACCAAAACACAGATTTAACAGTTCTGCCACAGACCTGACAATTACACTTTAGAAAGTAATAGATGCTTAGGTGCATATTTTGTCATAAACACACATTTTGAACGTGGCATTCTGTGTTTCTATGTACACATCTGTAAAATAGGGATACTAATACCCAGACTGTGACAAGTAGATAAAGTTTAAAAAGAATTGTGGAAATCTTGGTTTGATGCCTTGGTTTCATTTCTTCTTCATTCCTTCTGTACAAGGAATTTCAGCACAAACTATGTTGAAGTAGCATTAAAAGAGGCTCAGGGCTGCCTTTTACCCAGATTGGAGGACTGATTACATGTCTTTCTACCATGTACCTCACAGATATAAACCCATTCTCTCTGACTCTGTGTGTTAATAGGGCATTTGATTTTACTCTTGAAAGGGAATTAAGAAATAAGAAACTGATTATAATAATAGCAAGTAGTAAATATAAAGATTTTAAATTGTTTCAAGTGAACTTCCAGATTAGGGTGAGGGAATGTTTGGCAAAAAGGGGAAATGATATAATCCCAGTCTTGGACCAACAGCTAGAGCATGAATTAAGGCTGTCTTTACAAATTTAATTTTCTCTGGTCCCTTTTACAATTAACTTGCAGAGGTAGGGGGGCTGTTCTGCCTGTAATGGATGTTAATAGAAGTTACTTTATGAAGAAAGAACACAGGAAGAGAAAAACAGTGAATAAGAGAAAGCTCTTTCTGTTTTGTTCTGTTTAGTTTCTCTCTGACTGCTTCATGCTATCTTCCAGGAATGCTCCTGAGACCCAGTCTTTCTTATGACAAGTACATGAATGGTACTGAACATGACAGACTGTTTAAATGGTTCTTATTCTTGGTTATATAACCAGGAAAGAAAGTGCTGTAATATAGATATTGTCCTGTAGGTCTAATCCTGAACCTATGTAAACTGGCATCGTTCTTTTGTCCAGGATACCAGAGTGTAGTGCATTATCTCAATTAGGGCCTTGTGGCATCTTACACTGTGGGCCACACAATGCAGATTGGTGTTAGTGCTAGCTCATGTTTAGAGCAGTTACACTTTAGGCCAGGAGGGACGTGGAAGACTGAAACGTAAGAATCCCCTCCCCTGCATCCGGGCTTCCCCCTACCCCCTGAGCCTCATTGTTGTAAAAATATTATAAGCTTGTAAAATAGCACAACTTATAATAATAAAAATATCAAACTATATCATAGACAACTAAAATGCATTAAATATAAAGATAACAGAATGAGATAAACACCAATTGAAGAGAAATATGCAGCAACAGAAGTATTAATATAGTACTTACAGCACTGTAGTAGAAATTCTTCTTTTGACCCTATGAGCATCAGTTTTTGATTTTGCTGAGCTGCTGTTTGTTTTGACACCAGTCTTGTCTTTTTTATGCTGGGTCATTTTGCATCTGTTTTGTCCCCTATCTACTTTAGCAAATCCCTACATTAAGTACATTAAGTTGCACCACCCCTCTTCCTAAGTGCGTGTCATTCTTACTATTACTACTGTTGCTCTGAACATAGGGATAGCAACAGTGCAAGCCTTAGAGCAGATACATTATGATGTCACTCTGATGCAATCCCTGGATATTGTAATGTAATCACCGTCTATAAAAACTCTAAACTACAACAGTTAACCATGCCTATTGGAAAGCACCTTTGAAAATCCAGAAGTTTCACACATTTTTACTTGAATGCTCTGTATTCCCGATATGATATAAATCTAATACAACTTCCATTTTCCTTACAACTTAAAAATTAGAAAATAAACACTAAGGTTATTGATTTTTCCACTGGAAATTACTCCTGCCCAGATGTCTGTTTATCAATGCTATTGTTGGCAGTGGAATAGTTGGAAAGCTTTGTCACTCATATTACCTTCCTCTTTCCGCTCCGCCTGCAAATTTTACGGTTATATTTTACATACTGGCTTTTTCCAAATGAAGAAAATATACCAGACTATGATTGTAACAGGTGCAGCAGAATTAAAGTGAGGCATGATTTAATTGCAAGTGTTAGACCCATAATAAGGATGGTTCAGTGGTTAGGGCACTAGCCTACCATTAGATATAGGTTGAAATTCCTCCTCTGTCTTAGACTGTGTGTTGCTGGGCAAGTCACAGTAATTCTATGCTGAGTTTGTCATCTGTAAAGTGAAGATATTCGTACTTCCCTACATCACATGGCTCTGAGACTCAGAATTGACATTCATGTATTGCAAACACAATGAAAGTAGGCAATGTCACACTTAGCTATTACGGCAAATGGGGCCTACATAAGTACTCAAACTGTGTTCAGTACAGGATTCAGCAATTGTAAAACACTAACAGGAAGAAAGAGGATGCTAGGCAGTCTGATCTCCTTGTAGGATTTAAGCCTTGTTTCTGAAGTGACAAAACTCAATTTGTCCTCATCTGCACTGGCTTGTAAACTGTGCTTATCATCAGTTAAATTGTCCCTATAACTAATCCATCTCATGCTACTCAGGTGGAGCCTCATTACCTGAGACAAGATTAAGAACAGTAACTTCATACAGACATGCAAGATAATGTGTATTGTGGGGTTGAAAAGCATTTCAACTAGGCTTGAAGAAGTATCCATTAGAAAAACAATATCTAATCCATATACTATTATTAGATACAATAGTGCGTACTGTCAAAGAAAATATCAACAAGAGGGGAACAATGAAGAACAGAACGATAAAAATAATCTAATCTGGAGATGAAACCTTCCAGGTTTGCTCACTGCAGGCAGGATGCAAAGTTTTTAAGTGTTGTTGAAAGCATTTTAATTGAATAGGCCTAGGCAGCTAACATTTTATTCTCCCTCAAAACCAACCTTTTTTAAAAATGCAGAAAACCTGCTAACATACCATTACAATTATTTATTGCAAAATAAGTCAGATTCTCATGGCATTCTCATGAAATTCTTTTGCATTGCACACACATAATAGTATTAAATATTTGCCTATTATATAATGTATGTAGATGTATTAACATTTTTTATTTAATTCTATTTATTCTATGAACGCTAATTGATTGAAGTGGGAATCTTGTATAAGATCATGTGTAGATCACGACCAAGGTCTTTAAATTTATTGGAAAAGGAAAACTATTTATTATTAGGCAGTCAGAATAACTAACAGCTTATCTAGTTGTCATAGTCAAATGACTTTTACCAAGTACCGTTCTTCACATTTAAATAGTCAGTAGTCATTTCTTCTCCATTAGGAATATATCAAATGTACCATGGAAGAGATGTAAGAAAATGAATCCAAGTTTAAACCACTTAGAATTATCTACTGGTAGGGAGGAGGGGGGAAAAATGACGATCACTCATGGGACCTGCACAGATCTTGTAAGTTCGAATCAATAAATATATAGTTTCTGGCTTTTAAAGAATACAGGGTGTGTCTGTATGTCTGTCAATACGCTACAGTGACATAGCATCCATGAGCAAAAACCGTGACACTGCCACTATATTGCCGTAGCAATGCACTCCCTCAGTGTAGCGCATTGCTACAGTGATGTAATGACTAAAAATAACCATGCCCCGCTGCCATGGCGCAGTATGGGCAGTATTAAAGGAAGGAAGTATTAAATGACGGTGCAGTAATAACAGCACTGTAGGGGTATGTGCAGAGTGGAGCAAATTAGTTTTTCATAGAACTTACTCAGCTGATTAAGCTGGTCATCAATTCCTAGAAACTATTTATAAAAGAAAGGGGCTTTTTATACACAGAATGCAGAACCCATGAGAAGGCAATGTTATTAGTCTCAATGATCAATTCACACTTTTAACAATAATCTATGACCTTTCGTGAATGGTACTTGCCCAATACTTATCTCACTAAATTAACTTAGACAGATGTACTTAGTTCCTGTGGGACCCAATGTAATGTCCATTAAAATAACTGAACCACTCTTTTACCTTCCACTGAAGCTGGAACAAATAGTACAATAGCTGATATACATCTTTCATAGATACTCACTTAAGTAACAGATTTATAAATTTATTAGGGAGGAATTCACCTCCATATGGACCTCCAGAGTTATCAAGGAGCATTCTCAGAAGAGCTGTCCTCATGTTATTGGTTGAGAGGCATAAGGTTTCACAGGCAACAACCACTTTATCAGATTCTACGAGTGGACTGTCAGAAAGAAAAGATTTATGTAGAAGGGGGAAGGATGGGAGAGAGGATGCAGCTAACAAGAGTGATGGCAGGATACTAGTGGCATATGAAATGTGTAATTCTGTATATTGTTGCACAAGAAATTAGTGAAAAAAGGTGATTGTTTGATGTATGTTCTTTCTTTGTATTACTTTTCTGTTCAAAAGTGTAGATCTGTTTGACCAACAGATTTGTTCTATTTTGGAGAGTTGGATTTGACAGCTCATCCAAACCCATCTTTGAGATAAACACAGACCTTGCTAACTTTCTTGAACTGGTGAAATCCTCAATTGGCTGTGAAAATCAGACTGATCAGAATTTGCAATGTCATAATAATGAAAACAGCCCCTGCGGGAGCCAAAATGTGACCCAAAGTTTCTAAGAATACTGAAAAATATCTGTTTTTTTCCTGTAAAATAAATGGCATATACATAATGTAGGATTACATAAAATGGTACAAAGACTTTACTTGCCAGCTGTTGGGAAAAAATGAAGTAATGCACATGACTGTCTGAGTAATGTGCATATGTAATCACATCTCAAACTCTCATTTCTCTTTATTTCCTGATCTGAAAAATAATGGATGATTGGGATATTTTTCATAATTTATAGTTTAAAATGGTGGTGCTTAGTGCATTCGATTACAAAAAAAGGACAGCATATTCAAAATCTAAGGTACTTGTCATTATGGTGGTTTCAAAAAACAACATTATTGCTTTTCATTTCTTCAGGATTATGCTTAT